GAGGAATGACATCAGGTTTTCTTAATGGCGAGTCTTCTGGGACGTTAAGTTTCTTCAGAAGAGACATCCAACCAAGGGTAAAACCCTTGTTGCATGCCTCCTTCACTTGCTGTTCATAAGCATCAGTGACGTCGGCCATGCCTTGGGCATATGCCTTTTCATCAGTGTCTTTTATTTCAACCTCTTTAGTGGCCAAGGCTTCTTCAAGCTCTTTCTCGGCTTGGGCTATCTTCTCCTTGGCCTCCGTTCTTTGGGACTCAGCCACTTTCTTAATAGCCTCAGCAGCCTCAGCCTTCTCTTCGACATTATTCTGAGCTTTAATTACAGTCTCAGCTTGATCCTCCAGCTTCTTCATTTTTTATTCAAGACCCTTATTGATCTTTTGAAGAGAAGAGAACTCCTTCTTCATGTCGGCCAGTTTTTGCCGATTTTTAAAAGATTGCACGGAAAATGAGTGGGCATGCTGGATTGCCTGAAAGAACACAAGGCAAAAGTTAGCACAAAATTTTCTAAGTACAAAACAGAAAGAAGAAATTACTAAGAAGAAGACACTTACTTGAACGGAGCGTTGAAGCATCAATGTATAATTCTCGTACTCGCTCAACTCGGCGTTGCGGTCAAGGTCGCCGGGAAGGAGCAGAGCTGTGCTTAGGGCTACGCCGACATTGATGTTGTCGGCACTGTCGGTAGCCAAGACTGGCTTGTCCTCCAGAGTAATTTTTGGGGACCAGGGGGCATCACTCTTCTTGGATCCCGAAGTCATAGCGGAAGAGGACCTCGACTTTTTGGATTTTGGGGACTCTGATGGCTGGGTTTCCGAGCGCCTCTTCCCAGCAGAGGGTTGAGGTTTGTCACTCTCCGCCAACTTTAAGATAGGCAGGCTATCTTCGGACTCGACCTAAGTTACCTTAGGCTTTGGTTGAGCCTTTTTTATCCTCTTCGGCTTCGATGGAGGAAGGGTTTGGGTTGGCTGCTCATCAACAGATGAGGGAATGCTGGCCAAAAGTTTTCGGCTTTGATGGAGGTTGGGTTTGTGTTGGCTGCTCATCAACAGATGATGGAATATTGGCCAGAAGATCTTTTGCAACAGGCTTAGAGCAGCCCATCTCGGCAGTAAGGATAAGTTGCCGCCGACGTTTTCGTTTTGATATCGGGACCAAGTTTGGAGCCGAGGTTGATGGCTGATCAGCTAGATCGGATGTTGATCCTTGATCTGTTCGTGATGTGGATATAGTCAATGGAGTTGTAGCAGATGGTGGAGAAAGGCTTTTCTTCTTCCTTTTGGGAACGTCGGGCAAAGTTGACTTGTATGATGGAATAAAATTGAGAAGCACAGGTGCTTTTCTCTTATGGACTGGCAAGTCCAGAAGTTTCTTCAAATCCTTGCAGGGGACAAAGGATTAGCGAAAATTTTTTGGTAGCTGACGAACAGCTGCAAGAAGAACAGACGTCAGAAACAGGCAAAGTATTTAACACTTTGAAGGAAAATAGGCAAAGATGAATACTGGGCTCTTACCCTTGCCCTCTAAAACTAATCGGGGAAGAGGGTAGAGATGGATGTCCTCGTCTGGAGCAAACTCCCAATTTCCCGAGGTAATGAGATAGTCATCTCCAGCCCCCCTTGTTGGAGTCTGGGAGGTCGGCTACAATTTTAAATTCTGTAGACCGCGGCTTAAGGTAATAAATGTAGCCTTTTTCTTTCAAATTAAGGGCACACATGGTATAGCAATACTGGATATCAGCTAGGGTGATCCTAGCGTTTTCCTGTTTAGCTAAGGCTATGGCACCAAAGATCACTCGATAGGAGTTGATTGCCAATTGCATGGGGTTCAACTTATAGTAATGAAGAATCTCACGAAAAAGGATGTTGAGTGGGAGCCGGAGTCCGCACTCAGTAAAAGCTATAATGGGAAAGGGCATAGAGTTTTCTGTAGGCATGATGGAGTCATCATCCCCAGCCAGCCTCAAATGGACATCGGCAGGGATGGAGAACTCTTGCCTAAAGTACTCAAGTTTGGTCGGGGTATTTACCCTATGTCTCCACATACCCATGATATCGGCCTGAATTAGAAGGGAAGGAATTTAGAAAGAAGGTATTTCTTGTTGATGGGACCTCGGCAAAAACCTAGGTTTGGGCTGGTACATAAATTTGTAAGGAATGTTTCAGTTTTGCCCTAAATCGTGAGTTCTACAAATAAATCCCAAACCTAAAGCTATGGAGATGAAGATCAAAGGCACAGATCTGGAAAAGACACAAAAAACAGAAAACAAATACGAAGTTTCAGAATCAAGAACAGAGGTGGACTATCAAGAGCATGAAGAATACAAAGGGTTGAAGGCGTGCAAGAAGAACTATGAACAGTACATGTATTCAAGGCATAAGCAAAAAGCGAAATCAATGCATTCAGATGTATGATTCACAAATTGATTATTTGAGCAAGGCAGTAGTAAACAAGAAATTCCAGAAAAGATCAAGAACTGGAATAAGAAGAAAACAGTTGCTTACCAGAAAAGAGTGAAGCCGGTATGAAGATTGCCGAAGTCCGACGATGGTTGCAGGAGTAACAGAGTAGTGAAAGCTTCACCAGAAAGACGAACGGAAGACAATTGCAGAGCTTGGAGCTTGGGCAATGGCGGATTCGAAAGAAAGAGTTTAGAGAGAGAAAAAGCAAGATAAATCAGATGCAAAAGTGGAAAAATGAAGAAAAGAGGAAAGGTTTTGTCAAAAATGAAAACGGCGGCAAAAAATAATCAATACGCCTAGAAGAATGCATACGTCAGACGGCGCACGTGAAAAAGAGACGGCTTATGGACGCGTCACAGGTACGAACCAGTAAGAAAGAAACGCGTGGTTAAAAACGGTTTAATTATGGTGTATGACAGCTCATACGCGTGGAAAGATTCTTGAAATTCTTGTTCTTCAATAAAAGGATATCGGCCAACATAAAGATCTCGGCTGAGATATTGAAAACCGACGTACTAGAAAAACGAAATGATATAGGTTCCATCACCTCAGAATGCTGAGGTAATAGAACCTAGGGGGCAGTTGTGGGGATATATTTTTTGAGTACCAACACGCGGCAAGGCAACGCCGACGTGTCAGCCGAGGTGCCACGTGTCCTGATAGTGACGCCGAGATTATCTCCGAAGATATCGGAATCCGAGATAATAGGATAAACGGATAAGGGACAGGAGTCCTAGAATAAAGAGGAGATTTAGCTAAGATAAGGATAAAACTCTTAGAGAGTTTATCTTTATCTCTTGAGGAGTCCAAAGTAAGTACTGAATTGGAGTCCATAGAAGTCAGGCTTCTTGTGGGATTAGGATTAAGTAAACTATAAAAGAGAGGCACCCTCGTGGGTCTAAGGTACGCAATTTTATACTTTGAGCAGTAAGTTTAGCACTTGATTATCTTTGAGAGATATACTGAATTGATCGTCGGAGTGCTCCCGGGTGGAAGAGCCACCGCTGGAGCCTTTTCTTTCTGTTGCAGAATAACTGAAGCCATCTATTCTGCCAGTTCTCTCTAGCTGATTACTAAACGAGCAGTGTGGTCAAAAAATTACTCACACAAGTGTAATTAATCCCCAAAAATGTTAAATCGGTAATGTTATATATATTAATTAATATACACACTAGTGTATTAACTAGTGATAGGATATATTAATTAGTGTTATGTCATTCTTATGAACCCCGTCTATTATACAAATTATAAATATTTAAAATCTCTAAAATTATGTCATATCATCTGTTAGTGGGGGTGTTTGTATGGATTTTTTTGAATTAACTTATAGCTTTTAGCTTCCGAAAAGTTATTTTGGACTGTTTGGTTAAATTTATTTCAAACGGTTTCTGATTCTAGCAATTTATTATAACTCAAAAAAACTGATTCTGATAAGCTGCTCACCCTTTATTTCGGATTATTAGCTTCTGCTACGGATATGTTAATTTACGATTATACTTTTAGATTTTTTTATTTTTTATTTTTTTTAAAATAGAAAAAGACCCAAATGGACTATAGATTATTATTATTATTATTTTATGAGAAATAGGTAAGTAGTGAATAACAAAAAATAAAAGTTAATTAAAGAAGTTACTTCACAACTTATTTAACAGACACTACTCAGCAACTTAAATCTATAATCTAACAATTATACTAAATAGATCAATAACTTTTGATTAAAGTAATAATTTATAATCTGTTAAGTTATAATTTATAATTTATTTTAATAGTTATACCAAACGAGACTATTATAGTGATCAGTATTTTAATTGATGCATATAAAATTATTCAGGTTAAGTAGGCATGAACTTTTTTTTTGCAACAAACTCATTTATTTCCGTTTTAAAAAAGGAGCTACATATGATCTGTTTTGATGTTTGACAAATCTTGGCCGTAAATGAACATTCGGTCAAGATAGCTTTGGATGTATCTTCAAGATTGTAACGTAATCTTCACTTCCATTCAGACAACTTTAATATATATATATGAATAATATTTACATACTTAATGAATGTGCTGTTAAAACGTATAAGAAATTATAAGTTTTGATATGTATTTGATGTGACTAATTACATGATTATATAAGGATATTTTAAAAAAAATTAAAAGAAGAAAAAGAAAAATGTGAGAGTGTGCACCAACCCAAGGCTTCTTTTTTTTTTTTTCAAATTGTCCCTATAATTGTCTCATAATTTGATTTTAATTTTCAAATTTTATTTTAATTTATAAAAATCTGACAAAGGGCACGTGGCAGTGGTACATGCTAGGAAGCACAGTTATTGCGTGCGACTCTTGGGATTGAAAAAAAAGAAAAAAAAAAGAGTGTAAGTAACGAGAGAGAGGGATGGAGAGACTGAGAAGCAAAGAAAACTAAAGAGAGAGAACAGCAGCAGCGGTTTGGAAGAGGAATATTAATGGCCAAGATTGTGTGGTTGCAGTGTCAGCTGTACATATACATCTATATATAGATACACAATTATTATATGTACATACATTAGATACATAATTATTTATATACATGCATAAGTGTTAGTATTGAAGTTGGGTTGTGGGGTTGTGGGGTGCAATAAAAGTGGGGTGTTGAAGATGGGTAGGTCTGGGTTTTTATAATGCTTTGAATATCCGCTGTTCTAGTTGCTGTTCTTGTTTCAAATCCCTCAAAACCCAAAATATTTTTAACGTGATTGTTATTAGATATATATATATATATAAATTGTAAGCAGCTGCAGACAATGATGATGATGATGCTGAAGCTCTTTGGGGTTGTGTGCTCCTCAGCTTAATTACCCTGCACCCACCTCCACATCTGCTCATTCATTTAGAGAGAGAGAGAGAGAGAGAAGAGGGGAGTGGGGGCAGCTTTCTCATTACAAGTCATTTTCTTGCTTTTCAATTCATGTTAATGTGTTGGGGTAGTTAAGGGGTCACTCTGATTTGTGTTGTGGTTTGTGACCTTTGTTTTTGCTAGTAATGGTGATCTAGTTTTATCAGTGTTTCTTTTTTTCTTTCCCTTTTTCCTTGGGCACTGAAGTGAATGCAATAATGGGTATTGTTAGTGTTGTCAAAAGGAAGAGAGGGTTTAATTCAGCTGATCACCTTCATCACCTTCTTCTTCTTCTTCTTCCTTTCTTCATCTCTGCCCTTATTTCTGAAAGATTTGTCGTCGCTGTCGCTGTTTCGGGCTTGAATTACACCAAATTTAGGCAAGTTGGGAGCTTGAGACTTGCAAGGATCCAGAGGCATTTGGACAAGATCAACAAGCCTCCTGTCCTAACCATTGAGGTAAAATTTTCTTACAACTAAATGTAAATTTGTATACATGTAATGATTTATGTTGTTTCTCTTACAAGTCTTTTTGTTATTGTGTCTTTTTTTTTTTTTGATGGGTTGATCTTCTCAGAGCCCAGATGGAGATATCATAGATTGTGTTCATAAAAGAAAACAGCCAGCTTTAGATCATCCTCTTCTCAAGAATCACAAGATCCAGGTACAAAAGTCTGCAAAAACAACCTCTCTCTCTCTCAATATATAAAATGTTGGTGCACTTTTCCTCTTAGAGAGGAAATGCAACGGAAAGCCTATGGTTCATGGGTTTAAAAGGTTTCATTAAGTTCAAATAGAGAGAAACCAAATACAAAATCGCATACAGAAAATAAATGAGTGGATAAGACTTTTCATAAACGAGTCCTCCCCACAAATCTATAATAAAATTCTATTTCTTCATCTATTTTCTATTTCTGATTTTGTATTTTTTTCTCTAAACATTTCTAGAACACTTCTGATAGAAACACAAAAACCAATCACAAATATGAAGAATAATACTAGGGATCAAGAAAAAAATATCATGAAATGTATCTTTTGATTAGTGAGTGATGTTTTATTATATATATAATTTAAAGGTGAATAATCTTTTATGATCATTTTCATGATATTTTTTTCATAATTCCTAACATTAAATGATCAAGATTTTACGAGATTTGCTAATAAAACCTATTTTTGAAAAACTTTATGTGTTCAATAGTTTCAACATTCGACTAACAACTACCTATATATCCCACAATAGATGCATACCATCTCCCTATCTACCTACACCTATCTCATTGTTTGTTGTGTGTCGGTGATAATAATAATGAGTTTGGTTATGTTGGAATGTAACAGAGAGTTCCACCAGAAATGCCCAAGTTAGGAGTGATGAAAAAGGATAATAATGAGGCAATGAGAGACCACAAATACAATAAGACCACCAGTGGTGGTAGCGGTGGCGACAGCGGTGGTGCATGGCAAATGTGGCACCAGAAGGGAGAAAGGTGCCCAAAGGGCACCGTTCCAATACGGCGGAGCACAGTGCACGATGTGCTGAGGGCTAAGTCTTTGTATGACTTTGGGAAGAAGCAACGAAGTTCACTCCCCCTTGCTACCCGCATTGATGCCCCGGATGTAGTCAGTGGCAATGGCCATGAGGTATCTAATCTTTTCTCTCCCCTACTAAAATTTTTTAAATTTTTTTTTCACCCTTTTGTGTCACTTTTTAATTCAGTGCATGTGATTGGTTTTGACTTTTAAAAGAGAAAATAAAAATATATATTTTGTAACATAGATGTAGATTAACAGATTAAGATTAACTCGAATGGTAAGTCCGAATAAATAATTTGAAAGTTTTAGATTATCATCTCTACTATACTTGATATGCAGAGAGAAAATAATAATGACGCTAATTTTCCTTTTAATTTATAATTCAAGATTCAAACATAGGATTACGATAATATAGGATTAGGATGGTGGCTCAAAAGAACATGTTATATACTTTCACATTGCTTTAACTATTTTTTTTTTTTCCAACAAATTAAAGCACTAATATATGTTTTTGAATTTTTGCACTATCATTGACCTAAATTTAAAAAACAATAGTCAGTTTTTTTTTGGGGATGAATTCTATAACCATGTATGTACCTAGAGAGACACATAGAAATTATGATAGAAATCAAATCAATGAAGTGATGAGTTCATAACTTGGATTCTTTATAAACATTTGATCTCATATTAAATGTTATACTCATCAAATGCTATCATTGAGTAGCCCTATACAAAACACACCAAAAAATAATACCAGAATGATGCAGTTTGTCTTGATTTTATCTCTTTCAAAGGAAAGATTTTTTAAATTAGTTTATTATTTTTAAGTTGTCATTGCTACATCATTCTGAACATGATTATTATTCTTTATCATTTTAAGATAAAGCGTTTATCACTATCACATCATTATAATAAAAAAATTTGTAGAAATAATTCTTCATAATGAATATGTGGTCCTAGTGAATAGCATTACGCCCTTGGACAGTGGAATTCATTTGACAGAAAATATAAATGGAAGAACTACTGTTGGTACAATCAACTTAAATAGAATTTAGTGAGGCTCTACCTCTCTAGTACTTGACTCCTCAACTCTCACCCATTTTCCATTGAATTTATTCCAAACCCTACACCCCAAATAAACAAATAAATAAAAATCATATTTGAATGAACTCCTTCCCTTCCTCTAGTTTCTTTCAAGGGTGGTCCAGTACATTTAATTCCCCACCTGTATTTTTTACTCTTTTTTTTTATTTTTATTTTTATTTTTTTGCATTAGAGAAGTTATTGAATGATATGGTTTCTTGGTCAATGGAAATGTGTCACTTAAATTATGTAACAGTGGACCCACCATTAACATGTTTGAGATGAAATTTTTTATTTTCAGCTTAGAAAAAAAAAAAAACTATTTCAAAAATACATCTGAAACAAATAAATAATTTTATTTTCAACTCAAAAATAAATAAGTTAGAATTCGAAGAAAATTAACCGACACCATAGTTTTTCAAAATGCAACTGCTTAATCATGAAATTTTAAATTTGAAGTTAAATAAGCTGCAAATAAATTGGATCAAATTGGGTAGCCACATGACGAGAATATTTTCTTATTGTTTGTTTACAAAAAAAATATAATGTCAAATATTAAAATATTTTAAAAAAAAAAACTGCATATGGAATGATGCAGTGAGTTGTGATCTATTATTTGAAAATAAAAATCTATAAGAATAGTTTTTTTTTTTTTAAATATTGCACGTTTGGATGGGTTTTGATAGCATGCGATAGCATACACGGGAGCATCAGAAGAGGTGTACGGTGCAAAAGCGACAATAAACGTGTGGGACCCAACAATCGAAGTGGTCAACGAGTTCAGCCTCTCTCAGATCTGGGTCCTCTCGGGATCATTCGACGGCTCAGATCTCAACAGCATAGAAGCTGGCTGGCAGGTACTTCTTCCTTCTCCTGTGCCCCCTCCACATACTATCCCACTCTCTTTGTATTTATTTATTTGTTCCCTTCTATTAAATAAGTATATCATATTTATTGATTTCAAGAAAAATATATTTATAATAATGCATACATTTATTTTTTGTACCCAATAAATATTATTTATTTATTTATTTCAACATTCATTTTTATATAATATAATGCACATCTATATATGCAATATATAAATAAATAATATGAAAATTCTGAAGCTTGGATTATTATACTAGTCAGGTTAGTCCGGAGCTCTACGGTGACAGCAGGCCCAGATTATTCACTTATTGGACGGTTAGATCTCCCTCCCCCTTACTTTGTTTGCACTTCTATTAAAATAAAAAATAATTAATAAAATAATTGGTGTTATATATGTGTCTATATGTGATAATATAATTTTTTTTATAATATAATATATATATATATATATATAAGCATTATTCTGTGGAGATGATCTGTCATGCTTGCTCGAGGTCAGACTCACTTTGGCTTCAAGGTCAAAGTCAACCTCACCTTAGGGGGGGGGGTTTCCTAGTCATATAATTCTTGTAGGTTTAAAAATGATATTAGTTTTGAAACAAACCGATGTATCGTATGTTTTAACTTTTATTGGTTAAAATGATTAAAACAAACCGATGTCTCAAAAACTCTTTTAACTTTTATTAAAATGATATTAGTTTTGGTTAATATTATAAATTACTTTATTAGTAAGAAATCAATACTCGATACGCAAATTGATTTTAATATGATTTAGCTATTATTGTTTTAACTTTTATGTAGCTAAAAGGTTTGCAATAAGACCTTTTCAACAAAACAAAAAAAAAACAAAACAAAAAAAAACAATATTAAAAGAGTTTTTGAGATAAAGAAATGGGTTCATAATTAAAAGTTCTAAGTGATTCGTGATTAGATTAAGATTTAATTATTCTAATTTTCAATTAAAGAAAGCTCACAAAGGCCCTATTTGGTAGGATTTATTTCCAGCTTATTTTAACTTTTAGCTTAATTTAAGTTATTTTGATGTGTTTGGTTCAGCTTAGCAAAACAGCTTATAATTTTTTGTAAGTCAAAAATCAACTTATTCTTTGAGTGGAGGGAGGAGAAGCTTAATTTATAAGTAAAAAATCAGTTTATATTCACAACCATAAGTTATAAGCTGTTAAACTATAAATTATAATCATTTTTCCACAACTCTATCAAACAGGGCCAAACTAAATCATCAAGTACTTACGAAAGTGATTTAGATTGTTGTTTTCGAAAAATAATAAATCGACACAAACGATTTTTACGTGGAAAAATCATAATTGAAGCACCTTCAATTGTGATCAAAAATCACTGGCGAAACGTCATTAATCAATCTACTACTGAAGAAAGAAAGATTATAAAGATAACAAACAAATTACCAAACGCATCCAATTTGTCTTTAAACCTTCTGTAAATCTTTCACCATAGCTTTCGTCTCGGAATTGATTAGTATGAAGTTGAATCCACAACTTCTATTGTCAAATCAACGACCACGTACAGTATCAAACTCCTTTGATACTCCACGCTTGAATCTCCAGATTCCACCGAAGAAGAACACTCTTGAATATAAAGAAACAAACTCCTTGATGTATGTATCTCAAATCATAGGTTTAAAACTCACTCAAAAATATCAAGGAAAACTAGCAAACAAGCCCTAGAACTTTCAAAACAGATCTAGGAAACTTAACCCTAAAATAAGACTTAAACAGATATATATAGAAAACAGGGGCCGTGCACTCCGCTCGAACGAATCCACTAAAGCACGCGTGTGAATAAACAGGTTTCCGCTCGAACGCAAAATCACACTTCTCAATATTTTTACAGACACGCCCAACTACTGAGATAGTACACATTCTGCTTGAGTGCCAATGGTCCCGCTCGAGCAGGAAAGCCAAAAAACAAGAAAAAATTACAATTCTATAAAACAGAGTTTGTTCGTGAATTTGGCAACAAAGGGACCTAACAATTATAAAGCCTCCAAAAAGTCCTCATCAACATCATTTAATTATCTTGATTAGCAAACATAATATACGACTTGCACGATTACTTCACGATCTCTTACTTTTGAAATTACTTAGAATTACTCTAAGACTAAGTGATTGACCTAATGATGGATTTTCTTATCAAATGGATATTTGAATTCAATTTTACAGCAATCATTGAGGGTTACAATTTTTATGGCTCAAATGGTTCGAAATTGTCAAAACGACGTCGTTTTGAGTACAAAACAACTTTGAAATTGTCAAAACGACGTCGTTTTGACAATTTCGAACCATTTGAACCACAAAAATTGTGGGCTCAAACATTTTTCTTAATTTAAATTGTTAATGCAAATTCTCCGTTTCAATTCACCTATGGACCAATCATACGTATGCAAGCTTTAAAGCAAGAGTGGAGGGACCTAAAAAAAAGGACAAAGCACATGAATCTAAGAGAGTCCAGTAGGCATGAAAATGATAGTTCTAGCAAGGGCACTGTTTAGATATTAGGGGGTCCATGAATGAGATATTATGAGAAAAGTTCTTATAATCTCTTTTTCTCACCTAACAATCACTCTCTCTTTGCATGGCAATAGTAATAAATATATTTCTTCATGCTATCTCCTTTGTGATAATTAGATAATTATTGAGTTTTTTTTCTTTTTCTTCATAGGGGAACATGAAAAAATAGTGACCCACTTTTGGGTTCTTGTCAATCTTTAATTCAAAAAATAAATGAAAAAAAAGAGAGGTTAATTACACTTTTGATTTGTGTATAATTAACCCAAGTTTTTTTTATTTTAATTTTAAATATGAGTTTTGCGTGTATTTGTTTAATGATATAATCTTTGTATGTTTAATGTTATATTAGTAGTGATTGAGCTTTGCTAGTAGATGATGGGATTTGTCTCTCGAATTAGTCAGTCCAAATATTGAGTTATCAAAAAAAGAAATGTTATTAATTTTTTGCTTATTAATGTTTTTTAGTTACAATAAATAATAATGTATTTATATACAGAGTGATTCATATCAAGCAACAGGATGCTACAATCTTCTATGTTCAGGGTTTGTTCAAACCAATAGTCGGATTGCCATCGGAGCTGCCATTTCTCCTATCTCGTCTCTCTCCAGCAATCAATATGACATCACTATTCTCATTTGGAAGGTAACTAATTATAAGGCCCATGTAACCAAACATAGTCTAAGTTACACATCATCTTATTTCTCATTGCATTTTTCTATTATTCGATATAAGTAAACAAGTTTTATGTGTATTTATTAATTTAAATTTGATTTTTGTAATTTCTGTTTGTCTTTTTAAATTCAGGATCCAAAGTTGGGAAATTGGTGGATGGGGTTTGGTGATAACACACTAGTAGGGTACTGGCCAGCGGAGCTTTTTACGCACCTAGCCGACCGAGCCACCATGGTGGAGTGGGGAGGTGAGGTGGTGAACTCACGAGCCAACGGCCACCACACAACGACCCAAATGGGCTCGGGTCATTTTGCCGAAGATGGATTTGGGAAAGCAAGCTACTTTCGAAATCTTGAAGTTGTAGATTCAGACAACAGTCTCAGCTCAGTTCGTGACATAACAATCCTAGCTGAGAATACCAATTGCTACAACATCAAGAGCTCCTACAACAATGAATGGGGCACGCATTTCTACTATGGTGGGCCTGGGAACAACCCACAATGTCCATGATCATCAACATCCTATATTTTCATCATTAAAAAAAAAAAAAAAAAAATGCCTCTATTTTTAAATTCTTTGTCTAGATCTTAGAAGTAAGGGAATGCTATTTCCACCCTTGCTTTTGTTACTTCCAGAATTTTTTTGGGGTGCATGTTCATGATGTGATGAAGGAATGTATTTATTAAATAAGACAAAAGCATTAAATAGGTATGGAAATAGCAATATTTTAATTAGTAGTTGATTGGAGCAGAATTTGGTGTATTGTAATCTTGATTTTTCGTTAATCGGCAATTAAGAAAATTAAAACAATATGCCTAATGAGGATTACCCGTTATTATTTGTTGGCTTTGTTGTAGGCTGACCCTTTTTTTTACCTCCACATATAGATGGATTTGGGATTTAAACTCTTCAATTTTCTTTTTCCTATTCAGTAAAACATTAGCAAGTTAGTAAGATGGATTAATATAATCTAGCGTTTGATACTTCTTTTTAAGTTTGAACTCTGAACCTCTCCAATTAGCCGAACTTACAGATACAATCACACTTTCTCTGTAACACGTACTTTCATTTTAAATAATGTACAATTATTTTATTTTGATTAACTAGTGCTCTAATCACTCATTAACAAAATTCAAAATTTAAAATAGTACGTGTTATGCAAACATTTGAGTTTTGATTTTGAAGTGAAAATGCACTAGTAGAGTGAAAGTTGTCACTTGTTTTGTTTCTTTGCTTTATAAAAATCTTGATTCCATTAAATTTAATGCACAAAGCATTAAGAAAATTGAAAATAATTATTAATTGAAGAGTCATTGACACAAACATTTAATTGATTGAAAAAAGAAAAAAAATGAAGAGTAGAAAGTTTTGATGGGCTAGAGTCAAAAGGTGAGGTAATGAAGGAGATGAGGGTGATGAAAGGCAACATATTTATTGCCATTTAATATAAGAGGTTGGCAGATGAGACATTAATTTTTTATAACTTAAAATTACATAAATAACGTCATAAAAATGACTTAATTACAAATCCATGCGATCACAAAAATTCCATAGACAACCTGTTTACCATTTTTTCTTTTAATGTTATTTATCACTTTTTTTTATCATTCCTTATCATGTAGATACAATAAATATCCTGTGTATTTATCTTATGAATCTTGTTGATGTGTGCCTGAAGAATACATAAGTTTAAAAGTTTTGTCAAACGGTCAATCATGTGCAAAATATTATATTTTTCTCGCTTTCATTAGTTGATACTATTAAGAAAATTTAATGCAAAGTGAAGACAACAAAAATTAATGCACAAAAAATTACAAAAACAAACACACACTTAAGATTTGTCTAATAATATCAAACTAAGGAATTGAAATAATATGACTTATGATTTTTAGAGATGCGAAGTTAGTGTCCTAAATTAAATGTATTATTTTCTCATCATAACAAGATATTCACAAACAATAAGCATTTAAAATTCAACATATTTATTGTCAAACATTTAGACGTACACACACTAGAAGAGTTAAATGAATGTTTACCATTGGAATTATCCATTAAATAAAATAAATAAAAATTAAGAGATAAAATCAAAACGTTTACAGTGAGAGATAAGCCAAGATTTGTTCAAAGATGTGTAAAAAACAAACCCAAAGCTTTTACATAGACAAGATTACAAAAAAAAAATTGGGGTCACAACCCAAAGCCTTTATATAGAGAAGATTTTTTTTTTTTAGCCTTTTGGTTTGTACACTTTTGGAACACATGACTTTTCTTAGGATTGTGACCAATGGTGGATGAAATTCCTTCAGTCCCTACAAGTTTGAAAACTTTAATGAAAAATAAATGCAAACTACTAGGGTGAGCAGTGGATATATCAATTCGTCAAAACTGATTGAATAGAACCAATTCGCCGCATTTTGGATGGATGCATGATGACGAGCGAACGATTGCGGATTGATTTTCTCCAATCTGCCAATTTGGCGGACGGATGGTGGATTTGAGATTCCTTTGGCCGCTACCGAACCGCCAAACCGCAAGCATTCCTAGTAATTTATAAGACTTTGTGTTTTTAGTTTGTTTAAATATTCTGTTTGTATTTTCAATTAAAAAAAAAATTAAATATTCTGTTAAAAAAAAGTTTTCAACTTAAATATCTTTTTTGAATTGAAAAAAATAAACGTATTATTTATTTATATTTTTGGTTTTTAAATCTATCTCTAAAAATAATAAATAGAAAATATGATATACGCTTGTTGGTTTTTGTTTTCAAAAACATATATAGATGTAACAATACAAAGACATACAATCTCTATTATTGCTCTGTTCATGGTTTTGGTGGTTTGAATTGTTTTTATATTTTGAGAACCACAGATTGTAATACTTTATGTGGATGAGGCATGCTGTGATTGTAGTATGTGAATGAGGCGTGGAGTGATTGTGTTATTCTAAAATTTCAAACTTTCTTACTTTGGATGAGGCATACAGTGATTGTAATACTTTTTTTTCAATTAAAAAAGAATTTAAATATTCTGTTGAAAAAAAATTTTCAACTTAAATATCTTTTTTGAATTGAAAAAAATAAACGTATTATTTATCTATATTTTTTGGTTTTTAAATCTATCTCTAAAAATAATAAATAGAAAATATGATATATGCTTGTTAGTTTTTGTTTTAAAAAACAGATATAGATATAACAATACAGAGACATACAATCTCTATTATTGCTCTGTTCATGGTTTTGGTGGTTTGAATTGTTTTTATATTTTAAGAACCACAGATTGTAATACTTTATGTAGATGAGGCATGCTGTGATTGTAGTATGTGAATGAGGCGTGGAGTGATTGTGTTATTCTAAAATTTCAAACTTTCTTACTTTGGATGAGGCATGCAATGATTGTAATATTTTTTTAAGTCATCAACTGTAATACTTTCTTCTTTTTTTTTTTCTTTTTTTTTGAGGAAGTGCACAAATTGAATTATGTTGAAAATTTATAAAATTTTAAACCGCCAAACCGATTCGCATCCATCCGCTCAACCGCCAATCCGCTCAATCCACGTCCGCCGAATTAGCAGACGGATGCGGATTTATTTTCTCCAATCCGCCAATCTGACGGACGAATGGCGGATTGAAGGTTTCATGGCCGCAACCGACCCGCGCCCACCCCTACTTGAGACCACTCAATATTAACATATGGATAAAAATATATATATATATATATATATACCATCCTTCTACCATTAGAGGATAAACTTGTTTGGAGCCCATTGAAACACGGCCAATATTTGGTTAAATCAGGTTACAAGCAGGCCTTAATGCGACAGTTCCCGAACTATTGTAGGCCTGATCCGGATTGGTCACTCTGGAAAAAATTATGGCACTTAAAGATCCCTCCCAAATGGACCTTGTTTTTGTGGAAATGTCTAAACAATATTCTCCCGGTTAAGCACGAACTCAAGAAACGAGGGCTCAATGTTGAACCTCTCTGCTCCCGTTGCGCCGAATCTGAGGAAACTATTGAACATCTATTTTTTGACTGTCCCTTTTCTCACCGGGTTTGGCGTGGGTCTGTATTGGGATTAGATTTTGTAGTGGGAATCCCTTTATCCTTCTCCTCCTGGTTCAAGAATTGGGTGGAGCAAATTACAAATGTTGAGATTTTAGTTCATTCCATTGCCTTATTATAGGCCATCTGGTTGCAGCGTAATTCGGTTGAATTTCGGTCTGAAGTTGTGTCCATTGCGCATACATTAGCCACAGCTCGGGACTTGTTATTCACCTTTCTGTCACCATACCCTTTTGTTCCTCATAACATGTCATCTGCTGCTTCTGCTGCTCTTCGGCCCACTGATACACAAATTGTTTTGCAAAATGCTGCCTTTTCCCTTGCAGATTTTCCGCAACAACGGATTGTTGTCGATGGGTCTTGGATCTCGGTTACGGACAGAACTGGGTTGGCTTGGGTTTGGCTGGATGCCGATAACCACATTGTCAAGCATGAAGCCATTTTGGGCCTCCTATGCTCTCTTCTCAACAAGCAAAGGCTGCTTCGGTTCTCCATGCAATGCGTTGGGCATCCCAGCAAGGTATCCAGTGTCTCCTCTTGCAAACCGATTGCCTGGTTTTGGTGCAACTTCTGCATACCTCTAATCAACATATTGATTGGCAGCTTCACTCTCTATTGAGTGATATTTTGTTATGCTCTAAAAAATTTGTACATGTTGTCCTAGAAAAAGTAGACAGAGCCGAGGTACACTCTGCTCATTCTCTTGCAACTTCTGTAAGAATTGCTTCTGATAATTAATGCAATCTCTAAGCTGCTTTAGTCCTCAAAAAAAAATTATCACTTAAATTTCAATTCCAAATAATAATTATTTTAATTAAAAAATAAAAATAATATTTTAAATTTTAAATTTTAAATTTTAAATTTGTCAAATACACCATAGTTAATTTGAAGGTGTCATGGCCCCATAATCACACCAAGGGAATTTCCACAAAATTTCCAAATAAAGTCATTTTCAAATTCAACATTTTATAAATGGAGCATGATTGCATCTCTCAACTGAATCGTGTTATTGAACTTTGAAAGGTTTATTACAATATTTTTTTTAATAATTTAAATCATTATTTTGTACAAACTTTTGAATAGATTATTCTAGTAAAAAAAATTAATTGAATAACTGTAATTTATCTTTTAAAAATACAGTCCATTATTTTATCATACATCTATAATTATCCATCAACTTCTTTATTTTCTGTGGGGGGTGATTTTACGATATTTCTTCACTCCAAACAAGTTCTTGAAAAATCCTTGGTCAGTTGCCTGAACTGTTTCCTGAAACAAGAAAAACACTCCGGTCAAGAGTGCCGGAATTAACACTCCGATAAGCAAGTTAGTCTTTCAAGAAAAAGGAAGCTTTTGAATTTCTTAGGGTGTAAGTTGTTAAAATACACCTTTCCATTCCACCTTTACCTCCTTTATAAAGTCATTCTTCAAGATATTTTTTCTGTAGCTTAGCCCTTGATCATGGCCAAGCGTCACAAATTGGCAATGCGGAAGCCTTGACAAAGATATGTAAGTGTGTGTGGCGCTAATTAACTCTCTTCACTATCCCACCAATAAAACTCAAAAGATTTGCAAAGACAAGCAAACACAATATTAGTTTAGTTGATGAGCCACAAGATTGGAGACAAGCCACAAAATAGCAAGCAACAAGCTAAATTTAAAGCAAGCAACACTAGAAAAGCTTTGCACAATTTAAAAGTGAAATGAACTTTTCATTGATCAAAAGAAGGCATTACAATGGTTGAACAATGCACCAACTATGCTACAAAAGTTCTCT